TGTTGCTATGGCATATTCAATCCTTCTATTATGGAATTTTATATGTTGCTTTGTAATTAATGGTGTGCACATTTGTCTTTTCTCACGATCAGGGAATGTGCTTAATTATCTTTGGCTCTCTGGTATCAATACAGTGCTTGGCAAATTGTAGGTGCTCAATAAATGCTTGCTGACTGGTTGAATTCCCTGTGTATTCATTCACTCATTTATCCTTTACAGAGCCCTTGTTTGGCTGCTAGGGAATAGGCATCAGGACTAGTTCAGGTCATTCCAGACCAGTTCTAGCCTGTCCAGGTCGATGCAGCACCTCTCAACTGGGAGTAGAGAGAGGCAAAGAGGTGAGAATTTAAAACAAGGCAGGAGGCAGAGGATATAAGGTTAGCAGCTGGGGAGTTAGCAGCTGGGGAAAAAGGAGATCAGATTCCCACTTTTACATGACCTTCCTTCTCTAGACAACCGTGTCTTTCTGGCTTTCCAAATAGAGGGCTGCTCTGCAATCAGATAGAAGAGATGGAAACGGAATGAGAAGGATTCATACATTTTTCCACTGGGGGAGTGGTCTAGGTGGAAACACACATTTATTAGTTTCCTATCGCTACTGAAAAAAAAATCACCCAAACTCGATGGCTTAAAATAACACAAAATGATTCTTTTATAGTCCTAGAAGTCAGATGTCCAAAATGAGTTTTACAGGGTTAAAGGTCAAGGCTTGCAGGCCTATTTCCTTCTGGAGGCTCTAGGAGAGAATTCATTGCCTTTCCGGTTTCTAAAGGGTATCCTCATTCCTTGGCAGGGGGCCCCACCATACACAGCCTTTTTTCCCCTCTGTTTCCATCATCCCATTGCCTTCAACCTACTTCAATCCCATTTCCCTCTTATAAGGACTTTTGTGATTACATTGGGCCTATCCAGATAAGCCAAGATCATTTCCCCAGCTCAAAATCCTTAACTTAATCATACCAGCAAAGTCCCTTTTCCCTTTTGTCATATACGGTAACATTCACAGGTTCCAAGGATTAGGATGTAGACATCTCAGGGGGACCATTATTCAGCCTGTTACAACATGCTTGATGTGAACATCTTCACCATAACAAAAAAGCCCCCTTATCCGAAAGGCATCTTACCTGGGATTTCTAGCCTCTTTAATAACTGCAGCAAATCAATGACACAACTGACTCATTGATCTTTCGTATAATTTAACATTGCTGGGAAAAAAGTGATATGGCCAAAAACCAGCCCGTTGAAAACATAATAGCTTAAGAGATAAGAGCCACTGCTAAAAAGATACAGGCACTTAAGGTTCACAGTCTATCAAGGACCCAGAGGAATAGAAAGAGTATCATTTATAATGAGCTTCACAATACTATACAGAACAATAAGTGTAATAATTTGGGAACTTATAAAGCATTGTGTCAATTTCAGGGATATGATTATTCCTAAGTGGAATTAGTGTGTTTACATGTATGTTCCTTTCCCACTGTACTCCCCCATCGGAATGTCAGTGCCAGAAGAGCAAAAACCTCATGTGTCTTATGTCCCTAGGGTCTTGAATTAACCTTAGAACATAGCAAATATCAGTATCTGAATACATTTTAAAAAATATATGCTACTAAATTTCCATTCCTTAAGAAATAAATGAAGGGACTTCCCTGGTGGCACAGTCATTAAGAATCCACCTGCCAATGCAGGGGACACAGGTTCGATCCCTGGTCCAGGAAGATCCCACATGACGCAGAGCAACTAAGCCTGTGCGCCACGACTACTGAGCCTGCGCTCTAGAGCCCACGAGCCACAACTACTGAGCCTGTGTGCCACAACTACTGAAGCCCGTGCACCTAGAGCCCGCGCTCTGCAACAAGATAAGCCACCGCAATGAGAAGCCCACGCACGGCAAAGAAGAGTAGCCCCCACTCGCCACAACTAGAGAAAGCCCACACGCAGCAACAAAGACCCAACACAGCCAAAAATCATAAACAAAAATAAATGTATAAAAAAAAGAAAAAGAATGAGAGAGTTCTAAAAAATAAAAAAGAATATGTGTAAGGAACACTAGCTCACTCCTGTATCCAGCCAGCTTTCTTCCCCACAAACATTTGTATATGCATGTAATTTAACATGCACGCTCCCCAACACCACGTCTTCCCCCGGGGCTGGGGGGCATGTCTTGATAAGTTGCCAAGACCCCTGGCTTATCTGATACCAGGCATCCTGCTCAGACCTCTTTAAAAGGCAGCGATCCACTAAGTGGTCCCATCTACCACGGGAGCGATGAGCAAGCAGCTGATCTCGGTTCTGCCTCACCTTGTACAGTTCCACAATAGACACTGCATTTTTTTGCCTCTGCCTGTTCCTACCAGGCCAGTCCAGTCCTGCCTGCTCTTCATCCTGGGATGCCTGCTGCACTCCAGTTTGGCATAGCTTTGAGGTTGTTGGCTCCAAACCAGGTCCTGTTCATCTGCCCCTCCCAAGCCCACACAATAGAGAATTTGACCCCTCCAACACAAACCATTCAGGGAATTATAACACGTGGAATGCAAGAATGGCCATCACCAGCTCTGCTCTGGAAGAGTATATGTGGAAAGAGTATGGAGTCTGCGCAGCCTTGCATGGCTCAAATCTTGGGTTATCACATAGTAGCTGTGTTTTTGAACAAGACATGAAATCTCGTAAAGCCTCAGTTTCCTCGTCTGTACCATGGAGATGATACAGTAAAACCTCACCCCATCATAAGATGACGGGTGGGCAAAAGAAGTCAGTCTTATAAAACGCAAGGGCCTGTTTTGAGAAGTTAATGAAATGACTTGGATTTGGGTTCTGGCTATGTAAACCAAATCCTTTCTCAGCTGTGGTTTGGTGCCCCCGTGCATTGTTTACTCTGGTTTAAATATTGATGGGGACGAGCATGCGTCCTGTGACTGGCTAAAGTTCCCAGGACAGCAGCAATAATTCCAGGAATCTCCTAGTTCTCTGGCACCCATTGTGTCTTTTGGATCCAGGGAAATGTGGCTGGAAGAGTACTGAGGACACAGGGACTCACTCTCTGCCTCCCCACCTCCCCAGAGAAGGCCCTCCCCAAAGTAAGGACTTTAGCTCATCCCATGTGAGGACAGAGGCTGGGAGAAGGGCAGGAGTTGGGAGACAACAGTTATGTGATATCTGAATTTGCTTTATTGAAGAGTTTTACTTTAAATGCCTATTCCATTAGTGTTGTTGTGAGGATTAGGGTTGATATATGAACATGTCTTGGTGCTTGGCATGTCATATTTGCTTATTAAATGGTGCATGCCACAAATGTTTATTAAGCACCTATTATGTCCTGGCCACTATACTGGGTCCTAGGGCTATGGCAGTAAATAAGATACATGTTCTTCCTGCCCTCATGAAGCTTATAGTTTAGCAGAAATAACAGCTTAGAGCAACTTGGAAGCTATGAAGTTTAAGCTATCATCATATTTTTTTTCTAAACAATCATCTTTCCCTAAACATTTTAAAACACTTGAGATCTTCTTTGCATATTTTGGAACAGAATACTCCTTTCTCTTCTCTAAAGAAGTGATTCTCAACCAGGGTCGATTTTGCTGCCCAGGAGACATTTGGCAATGTCTGGAGACATTTTTTGTTGTCATAGCTGGGGGGTGGGGGCAGGTGTGCTACTCTCGTGGGTGGAGGCTAAGGATGCTCCTAAACATCCTACAGTGCACGGGGCGGCCCCCAACACAGTCTCACCTGGCCCCAGATTTCAGAATGCCAAGACTCAGAAACCATGGTCTAGAGGGGACTTGCTTGGTCCACAATCTGTTATTTTTGGCTACAAAGGGAGAGAAAGGCATCGCCCTTACAAGTCTTAGAAAAACTGTCCCTTCTGTTCTGTGCCCTATGCCACTTGCCCGTGTCAGAGCAGGGAAAGGGGAGGAGGCTCTTCCAACTTCTCCATCCAGAAACACATTCCTCTCCAGAAGCACATTCCTCTCAGGGGCAGAGAGAACTGAGCTGGGGTCTGCTTCAGAGTATCCAGCACTATACCTGCATTTGGTGAGCTTATATTTGATTCTCTTACAGAAGTAAGTTTTCAAACGAAAAGCTCCGGGAAGAGACCTTGTCTTTAAAACCCTACCAAGATATGCAAATAAGCCACATTATCTCAAGGCCACTGAACGCAAGTTTTCAGTTCATTTGGTTTTCTTAAGTGTTTTAAAAGCTTGTCTGGGCATAATTAACCCAATTTGGTCTTTAGGGTGGTCCAGGCTTCCAGAGTGACTGGTTTTTTGATCTGATGTTTCTCTCACATATGTTCAGCAACAAAATTTTGGACAAAGCAGAGGATGAGGAAGAGTGAGGTAAAATAAAATGAAGCCAGAAGGAGATGGAGGGAGGCAGGGAGGGAGGGAGGAGAACCAAAGGAGTGGGGGTGGGGTGCAGGACAGGGGAGGGGAGGAGAACACGCACAGAAAGAATGGAAAGGGCTAGTCTTAAATTTCCTGGCTTCAAGAGCCCTGGTTCCCCAGCTCTGTTTACTTCTTTGCCTTCTATACTGCTTTCCAGAAGCACTGCATTGGATTCTAGCCTACTTCTCTCTCCTCCAGCTTCTGGGTAGAGGCGGGAGCTCCTGTCTCACAGCTGGGCTCTGAAGCAGAATCCTGTGGTGGAGCAGTACAACCGTCTGAAGAGAAGCTAGAATGTGTTTGTGAAATTCAAGACTATTTTTTCATGCTCATCCACCTTACCAGAGTAGATTGTCAGTAAATGCACGCTGTTGTTGTTGATGATGAAGTCTGAATATCCACTAGCCAGTACCAGCCACAGGCTGGATGTATGACTCATGTCTCCACTCAGATGGGTTGGATGATGATCCAAACTGTGACGTAAAACCTTTGAACTCTGTATTTCACGTCCCGTGGGCTGAGTGAGCTACACGCCTTTTCTTAGAAATGAAATTTGAGTTTAAAATGTGCAAACATCTGATCTGAAATGTGCAACACATTTTTTTTTTTCCAGTGCAGTGTTTTACTTGGAACCTGTTTCAGATGTTAGATGTGCTGGTCCAGATTCTCGGATGTAACAGTTTGCTCGAGCCCACCCGCAGATGTTATGCCTCTATCATAAAGTCACCCACAACGGAAAGTAACTTAACCAGAAGCACTTGCAGTACTGGTGGTGGACAGACTTTTGTGTTCTATTAAGCATCATTCTTCATGTAAAAAATTTTGTCACCGGCTGGTGCCATGGGTTCTGTAGCACTTCCCTAATATAAGTAAGACTTTAATAAAAGCCACACTGAGACAACATTTCATTGCTTAGACTTGCCCCTATTGGCCTTCAATAATGAAACTCTTCTTGACCCCAAACCTTAATGATGTAAGCATATATCTTGACCAAAGTACTTTCCTTCTCTCGAATTTCTCTAAGTTTGGTTTTCGGTTCAACTCTTAGGGACTCAGTGAGAGTATCTTCCTTATGGCATGATATTTAATAAACTCCTCACGTGCCTTGCACACAGCATGTGAGTGTTGGTTAGATGGACGAACAAGGCGAGCTTTGCAAAATGGGTATCAATGGAGCACGAAGCTGACGTCAGGCTGCGTGGTTCACCAAGGGCCTCCTCTCCTCGCTCTTTGTCCCTCATCCGGGCATTTTCAGGACGGAGGTCGCTCTCGCCAGGCCAGCCTGCTTCCAGGTCTCAATAGAGCCATTGTGCCGGAGGCTGAAGCAGTCTCCCATGGCCTCCCTCGGGGCAACCTGACAATCCTCCGTCGGCTGGCACGTCTGCTCCTCCAGGCCAGAGGTCAGGCCTTTTACATGGAAGCCCCAGCTGGTGAGAGGAACGGGAATGATGAGGCCTGAAAATTCTTCGCTCTTTGTTCTTCTGTTGGGTGACAAGATAATTAGTCCAAATGAGATGCAGCCTCTCCCAGGCTGTATTTAGCCAAATTGCAGAGCTTTCTTTCCCCTGGAGGAGCCTGGGACTCCTCCCTAGGAGATGGCAGTACCAGAAGGGGAACAAAATCAAGCAGGCTGGCCACAGCCATGGTAGGGCATGCTCCCCCCGTCACAGAAGCGGGATGGTGGCGCACCTGGTGTCCAGGATTCAGGAAACCGGGGTTCCCCGCACAACTCTGCCACGCAGACTCTGTATAACTGAGGACCTTTATCCCCTCTGGCCCTCAGATTTTTGTATGTTAAATAAACATGATAATCTCTTCCTCACAGGAGCGTGATGAAGATGAAATGGGATAAATTTTTTAAAGCACTTTATGAATTGTAGATGTGTGACATGGATGGAGGTATTGCCATGAATAATAGAAGCGCCCAGGTGTCCCCCTTTACAGAGGACCAGAGCCCACTTAACTTTGACATGTGACGTTCTGTCATACTTAATGAAGTACGTTCGCCATAATCTTCTCTCCCGTCCTTCTCTCTGGGACCACTCTTTCGCAATCCTCAAGCACATGGTTAATGCTCAATAGATATTTGATTGCAAACATTACTATTTGTGATAAAATATTAAAATCGAGAAAAATTGATTCAGTAAACAGAAAAGTTGCACTATGTATCTAATTGTCTAAAATACATATTTGCAAATAAATTGAGGAGAGGCGATGTTTAAAAGAGCATTTTTAAAATTCCCAACAAGTAAGTACACTTAAAAGAGTATGTAACATTGATATGCCTTTATTTATCCCTTCAGCTTTTTAAATTTAATAATTTTAATATAATTTGAAATTATTTAACTCTTCCCTCTCACTGATAAGACTTTTAAAAAACCTTCCTTCCCCTTCTTGTTTTGTTTTATTTCTCCATCTCTCAAATGTAAAAGAAAGTTTTAAATTGCAAATGAAGAATTCTATTTAATTCAACATAGATTTACTGAACACCTACTATGCAGAACTGAAAAAGAAGATTGAGATCTATAATTTTTTTTCCTCCAGTTCACCCCTGTCATAAAATTCCAGTTACAACATACACATGGATAGACTTCCATTCAATACCCTGTATCTCGGTGTTTTGAAGTTTTTCTTCAATCTAATTAATACATGCAATCCATAGTTATTGGATAATAATGTACTGTCCCTTCTCAGTAACTCATTGTACACCCTCCCCCCACCCCTGGCACCTTTCAGTCAAACAATGAGATTGAAGCTTATTGCCCTAGGAAAGAGAAGCACGGACACTGGCTAAAACAAAGAAGTTATAGCTCAGCTTTGTGCTTCAAACTAGACTTTTTTTAAAGTTCATTACATCAAACTAAAAAGCTTCTGCACAGCAAAGGAAATCATCAACAAAATGAAAAGGCAACCTACTGAATAGTTGAAAATATTTGTAAATCATATATCTGATAAGGGGTTAATATCTAAAATATATAAAGAATTCATACAACTTAATAGCAAGAAAACAAACAACCTTATTAAAAACTGGGCAGAAGATCTGAATAGATATTTTTCCAAAGAAGACATACAGATGGCCAACAGGTATGTGAAAAGATGCTCAGCATGACTAATCATCAGGGAAATGCAGGGCAAAACCACAACTAGATATCACTTCACACCTGTTAGAACAGCTATTATTAAAAACAATAAATAACAAGTGTTGGACGGGCTTCCCTGGTGGCGCAGTGGTTGAGAGTCCGCCTGCCAATGCAGGGGACACGGGTTTGTGCCCCGTTCCGGGAAGATCCCATATGCCGAGGAGCGGCTACGCCCGTAAGCCATGGCCACTGAGCCTGCGCTTCCGGAGCCTGTACTCCGCAGCGGGAGAGGCCGCAAGAGTGAGAGGCCCGCGTACCGCAAAAAAAAAAAAACAAAAAACAAAACAAGTGTTGGTGAGGAATGCACTGTTGGTGGGAATGTAAACTCGTGCAGCCACTATGGAAAACCGTATGGAGGTTCCTCAAAAATTTAGAAATAGAACTACCATATGATCCAGCGATGCCAATTCTTGATATTTATCCAAAGAAAACAAAAACACTAACTTGAACATATGCACCTCCAAGTTCATTGCAACATTATTTACAATAGCAAAGATATGGAAGCAACCTAACTGTCCATCAATGCATGAGTGGATAAAGAAATTTTATAAAAGACATGGAGGAAACTTAAATGCATGTTACTGAAAGAAGGCAATCTGAAAAGGCTACATACGCTATGATTCCAACTACACGACATTCTGGAAAAGGCAAAACGATGGAGACAATAAAAAAGATCAGTGTTTGCCAGGGGTTGGGGGGAGTGGGGGAGGGAGGGATGGGTAGAGTACACAGGAGTTTTAGGGTAGTGAAACCACTTTGTACCACACTAGAATGGTTGATACATGTCATTATACATTTGTCAAAACTCATAGAAGGTACAACACTAATGTAAACTACAGACATTGGGTGATAATGATGTTTCAACTGATTTTAATAAATATACCACTCTGGTGTGGGATGTTGGTAGTTGGTGGGTAGGGAGGTTGCAGGTATACATTAACTCTCTGTACTTTCCCTTCAGTTTTGCTGTAACCCTAAAACTCTTCTAAAAAAAGTTTATTAAAAAAATATATGAATCAATAACTGAAAGAACTGCAAGGAGAAAGAGAGAAATCTACCACTGTAGTTGAAAATTTCAATATTCCTCCCTCAATAATTGATAGAGCAAGTAGACAGAAAAATCAGTAAAAATATGGACTTTTTCAACCAAATTGACTTAATTGAAATTTATGGTACACTACCCCAATGGCAGCAGAAAACACAATTTTCTTTTCAAAAATACACAGAATGTTATGAGCCATAAAACAAGTCTTAATAGATTTAGAAGGATTCAAGTCACACAAAGTATGTTCTCTGACTACAATGGAATTAAAATAGAAATCTATAAGAGGTTGATATCTGAAAAGTCTTCAAATATCTTGAAACTAGATAACACACCTCTAAATTACACATTGGTCAAAGAAGAAATCAAAATTAGAAAGTATTTTGAACTGCAGAGAAATAAAACAACAACATATCAGAATTGTTGGAATGCTACTAAAGCAGTACTTGGGAAATTTATAGTACTAAACACATTATAAAAAAAGAAAATTCTTGAATTAATGACATCAGCTTCCATATTAAGACATTAGACAAAAAGGAACAAATTAAGCCTAAAATAAGCAGAAGAAATGAAACATAATAATAAGTATCAGAGTAGAAATCAATGAAAAAGAAAACAGAGAACCAATAGAGGAAATCAATGAATCCAAAGCTGGTTGAATTTTCTGATGTCAATCAATGTAATTCATCATATTAACAAACTGAAAAAGAAAACCCATATCAAATCAATAAATGAAGAAAAGGCATTTGACAAAATCCAACATCCATTCCTGATTTAAAAAAAAAAAACAACAATAAAACCCCCCAACTCTCGGCAGGTAATAAAAGGGAACATCCTTAGCCTGATGAAGGGCATCTAGGAACAACCTCTAGCTAACATCATACTTAACATGAAATACTAAATGCTTTCTCTGTAAGATAAGGAAAAAGGATTTCCACTCTCACCATTTCTATTCTACATTGTACTACAGGTTCTAGCCAGTGAGGTCAGGTAAGAAAAAGAAAGGTTATCCAGAATAAAACTTTTTGTCTTTGGAGATAACAGTCATCTATAATCCGATGGAATGTACAAAGAAGCTAATAAGTGATCATAAAACTAATAAGTGAGTTTAGCAAGGTAGAATATAAAATCAGCATAAAAATATAAACTGAATGTTTTCCATCAATTATCATTTCATCATATCTACCAACTGATACTCAAAAATTGTGTTGAATTTTTAAATTGAAAAAAATTTTAATTGCCACTTACAATATCATTAAAATTTTTTTAATGTAGGGTTAAAGCTGACAAAAGATACAAAAGACTTATGTACTGAAACCTATAAGACATTGCTGAGAGAAACTAAAGAACATATAAATAAATGGAATAATGGGTTGATGGTGAAATACTGTTAAGATCTCAATTCTCTCTAAGTTGATGTATATCATAAACACAATCCTAATCAAAATGCTGTTTGTATAGAAACTGACATCCGATTCTATAATTCATATGGAAATCAAAGGACTAAATAATTGGAAAAACGGGCAAAAGGGTTGAACTGACACTCCATGGAAAAAGGTATATGGATGACAAATAAGCACATAAAAAGATGTTCCACAACATCAGTCATTAGGAAGATAACACGACACACTTGTTAAAATGGCTAAAATTTAAAACACTGACCCAAATGTTGACGAGGATATGGAGAAACTAGATCTCTTATACCATTGGTGGGGATTTAAAATAGTACTACAATCACTTCGGAAAATATTAATAGTTTTGCAGCTTCTTAAAAAGCTAAACATAACACCTACCGTATTGTCCTGCCGTTCCACTCCTAGGTATTTGCCCAAGAGAAATGAAAGCATATATCCGTACCAAGAGTTGTACATAAATGTTCACAGTGGCTATATTTGTAATAGCCGAACACTAGAAACAACTCAGATGTCCGCTGACAGGTAAATGGATAAACTGTAGTGCATCCACACAATAGAATACTACTCAGCAATAAACAGAAATGAACTACTCATACAGGTGACAGCACAGGTGAATGTCAAAATAACTGTACTGAGTGAAAGAAGCCAAGCAGTAAAAAATACATACTGTGAATTCCCTGGCGGGCCAGCGGTTAGGACTCCGTACTCTTACTGCCAAGGGCCTGGGTTCAATCCCTGGTCGGGGAACTAAGATCCCACAAGCCGTGCAGTGCAGCCAAAAAACAAAAACAAAACAAACAAACAAAAACATACTGTATGATTCCATTTGTATAAAATTCTTGAAAATGCAAACTAATTTGTAGTGACTGAAAGATCAGTGGTTGCCTGGGGATGGTGTCAGCAGGGCTGGAGGGGCTACAAAGCAGCACAAGGAAATTGTAGAGGTGACAACTGTGTTCATAATCTTGATTGTGGTGGTAAAATATGTCAAAACTTATCACACTGTATGCTTTAAATATGGACTGTTTGTTATATATCAGTCATACTTTAATAGAACTGCTAAAAAAATTTAAACAGTAAGGAGAACTAGGAAAAAAAAGCAGGGGTTAAATTTTTTTACAAACAATGTATTGTTAAAAGGCTTCTTAAGCACATCATGAAAACAAATGTCTTTAAGGAGAATGATCAATTTAATTACAGAAAATTTAAATGTTTCTGTATGGCAAAACAGACTGTAAACAAGAATGGGGGACATGAAAGTAGGAAAAATATGTGCAACAAACATTGCAAAAATTAATATCCTTATTATATGAAGAACACTTACTGAGGAAAATATGGAACACTCTAAGCTACAAGGATATATTGTACAGCACAGGGAATATAGCCAATATTTTATAATTTTAAATGGAGTATAATCTATAAACATTTTGAATTAATATGTTGTCCACCTGAAACTAATATATGGTGAATCAACTATACCTCAATTAAAAAAAATTTTTTTAATGGAACACTCTAATAGGAAACTTGAGGGAAGTCCTGTTGAGACAATTCACAAAGAAACAGAAGTAGCTCACATAGAGAGGTATTTGACTTCAGTAAAAAATTTTAAAGCGCACATTTAAAAAATGAAGTAGCTTTTTGCCTCTCAGATCAACAAAAGATGTCCACTACAAGAATTCTACTCTTCACTAGAATTGCTTGATATGTCAGAGGAGGACGGTTAATAGTTTTGCTTATTTCTAAAAGTGCTTGCTTCTTGTCATCAATTCCTGGTAACCTTCAGCACTGATGATACATTTTGGGTTCCTGGTTGTACTTGGTTCTATTCTCAGCTATAACTTCTTAGGTCCAAGGACACTTTTCTGAGTCATTGCACAGGGTGGTCTTTGCTTCCTTCAAAGATACATGGCTTCTTCTAAGGTCATCACTAGTTTCTCTAGTGCTACAGGGCCTTTTTTAACTCCATTGGTGGAACTTACATTCTTTATTTCCTTAAAGCCTTTTTAAAATAGACATTCTTGGGACTTCCCTGGTGGTGCAGTGGTTAAGAACCCGCCTGCCAATGCAGGGGACACGGGTTCGAGCCCTGATCTGGGAAAATCCCACATGCTGCAGAGCAACTAAGTCCATGCGCCACAACTACTGAGCCTGTGCTCTAGAGCCCACAAGCCACAACTACTGAGCCCGCATGCTGCGATTACTGAGCCTGTGCGCCTAGAGCCTGTGCTCCGCAACAACAGAAGCCACCGCAATGAGAAGGCCACGCACCGCAATGAAGAGTAGCCCCCGCTCCCTGAAACTAGAGAAAGCCCGCGCGCAGCAATGAAAACCCATCACAGCCAAAAATAATAAATAAAATAAATTTATAAAACAAAAAACATTCTCATGTTGTCCAGAAAATGTCTCACAAGTTTTATTTCTCTAACCACTTTGAGCTTCGTTTTGCTTTTGCTTTCTATTGTGGTAAAAGACACATTAAAATTTACTGTTTTAACCATTTTTAAGTGTACACTTGGCATTAAGTACATTCACATTGTTATGCAACCATCACTACCATCCATCTCCAGAAATTTAAACACTAACTCCCCATCCCCCTCTACCTTCATTCCCTGGCAACCACCATTCTACTTTCTGTCTCTAGGAATTTGACTATTCTAGGTACCTCATATAAGTGGAATCATACAGTATTTGTCCTTTTATGTCTGGCTTATTTCACTGAGCATAATGTCAAGGTTCATCCATGTTGAATTATGTGTCAGGATTTCGTTCCTTTTTAAGGTTGAATAATATCCTCATATGTATATACCACATTATTTATCCATTCGTATTGTTTCCCCTTTTAGCTATTGCGAATAATGTTGCTATGAACATTGGTGTACAAATATCTGTTCCTGCTTTCATTTCTTTTGGGTGTATATCCAGAAATTGCTGGATCATAAGGTACTTCCGTTTAATTGTTTTGAGAAGCAAACTGTTTTCCACAGTGGTTGCACCTATTTACATTTCCACCAGCAATGCACATTCAATTTTTCTACATCCTTGCTGACACTGTTTTATTTTTTGACGATCAATATAGCTATCCTAATGTGTGTGAAGTTGTATCTCATTGTAGCTTTGATTTGCATTTCCTTAGTGATTAGTGATGTTGAGCATCTTTTCATGTGCTTATTGGCCACCTGTATGTATCTTTTGGAGATTTATCCAAGTCCTTTACTGAAGTCCTTTATTCAAGTACTTTTTAAATTGGTTGTTGGGTTGTAGGAATTTCTTATATATTTTGAATACTGATTTTTTAAATTAAATATATGAAATATTTGCAAATACTGATATTTTCTCCCATTCTGTGGGTTGCCTTTTCACTGTTGATATGGCCTTTGATGCACAGGTTTTTAATTTTTAATGAAATCCAATTTATCTTTTCTTTTGTTGCCTGTGCTTTTGGCATCATATCCAAGAAATCATTGTCAAATCCAATTATGAAGATTTCCCTGTTTTAAGAGTTTTAGCTCTTAGGTCTTTGATCCACTTGAGTTAGTTTTTATATATGGTGTAGAGGAAGGGTCCAATTTTATTCTCTTGCATGTGGATATCAGATTTTCCCAACATTTACTGAAAAGACTGCCCTTTCCTCATTGACTTCTCTTGGCACCATTGTCAAAAATCATTTGACCACATATTTGAGGGTTCATTTCTGGGCTTTCCATTCTGTTCCATTTACCTCTATGCCTGTCTTTATGCCATTACCACACTGTTTTGATTACTGTAGCTTTGTAGTATAGGTGTCCTTTTAATTTTTGAAATACATTCCCTCTTTATGGTTCATGTTGAGTTCTTTAACTCTCTTTGCATGTTGCCTGAAGAGACTGGCATTCTCTGTAGTACCCAAATTTAGCCAGGACCCAGGGACAACTGTGCAATCAGGTAGAGGAAGGGGAAACAAGCAGGTAAGTCATTCAATATGGTGTCTGGTTTCTTTGGAAAAGAAAAGGCACAGTCACTGGAGTAAAACTGTATGCCTTTATTACACATAAAATGAGTCATTAAAATACAGTTTGTCCATGTGCAGAAACATTATTATACATTCAATTCTGAAGGTAGTTTTATACGACCAATAAAAGGAACAGTCTAAAAGTGGGAAGAATAAAGACAAGAGTGAGAAGGAGCTAAAAGGCAGAGCTTTATCTGTCAAAGTGCTAAGGCCTATGTGCACAAAGATTTTAAAGTAAGACCAACATAAGGTCATTTCTTCCATTCTGATTTCTCTTAAGGTATGATGCAATGAGTCACAGAATTAAGACGGGTTTAAAAAAAATAGGTCATAGCACTTATGGCTAAGAGAAAGGTTTTTAATTTCTAGAGTTTCACTTATCATGTACTCTAGATCTTTCATGGGTTCTAGAAATTTCGTGAAGTCTCTAATAACAAACTTGCTCTTCAATCAGTAGTTTATTATCAGAGAACAAATTGTCAGGTCCTGCCCAGCCCAGAATCTGTCTCCTCATGCAACAAGCAGGTGACCAAATTTAAAGCTTGTTCAAAGTGATTACGTATAGGTTCAGATGGGGTCACTTCAAATTGCTATGCCTGAAAACCTAAAATGAAAACAACTGCTGACTTGGGGTCCAAGTCCAACTCCAGCTTTCCCAAGCTCTAGGTATCTGAAAACATTAGACACTGGTGTTTTGAAAAGAACTGACCCAAGAAATGTAAAATTTTATGTACCACACTTTCCGTAGGAAGGACATAGACTGTGTGTAATTGTTACCTTCAGACATTTTGACATTAAATGCATTGCTTTCTTATTGGGCTAATCTGAATTTTAAATATTAAGTATTTAAAAAGGGATCCATGATTAAAGTTAATAAAGTGCTGACTCAAGTTGGTTTAATATAGTATTTATGAGCCAATGTTTGTGTCACTAAGACACAGGTGCACACTCCTAAATCCTGAGCAGTGGCAAAAGCTGTCACTAGATAGACGATATAGTTCAACAGAAAACTATTACTTAGCCCACAAAATGCCTCACATCAAATTCCATGGTCCACTGATGGCAATTCATTACATTATGGGAACCCAAATCTTAAAAATAAAAATTCGGTAAAAGGGTAAGAATAATTCCACGTTTACTTAAATCTATCTTATATCCAGTCTTGGGTTTATCTTTCTTCTCTCCTAGGCACTCGATAGGTTTTGTAGTCAAGATGAAAGTCAGGATTTAAAAAATTCCCTTTAGTTTCTTTTGAGCTTGAAGAACCAGGAAAGTTGAGTTTGCAGTTATTCTTCAGGACAACCTACTATCTAGTCACAGCCCATCTCCATAGCTCATCATCTCTCTCTTCCAGGGTTAGTCTGTCCTTTTTGTTATAAGGAAATCTTTGTAGGGATTCCGTTTTTAGGTTAAGACTGAAAGATACACAGAGGTACAGAGATTCCTTCATTTATACAGTCCCTATGAAAGAAACCCAATCTTCTGTTTTATGTCACTAAGTATAAGGAAAACACAGGATATCTGCCCTCCTAGTTCCTGGACAGAGTTGAGACTGTATTACATGGTGGAATACACCTCATAATTTTTGACTAAAAGGTGAACATGGGTATTTTGGAATACAGAATTCAAGTTGCAAGTCCAGTAACCCAGGTAAGGAAAGTTCAATAATAAGCACTGACAAAATATATTCATTTATCCTTTTAAAACCCTTCTACCAGAAAGTCTTAAAGAATTAGGATTTAGGCCACTTTATAAGGGGTAGTGTCCAGCTGAAGCCTCTTTTAATGCAAGTTGTGACTTAGAAAGGAAAAAAAAAAAGTCAATTCTACAGTATTAGAAGAAAAAGAACGGTAATTTTATCCATTATGGAGGGAAAAAGGGGATGAAACATCTAACAATTTTAAATGAATACACTTCCTTCTCACCAGTCTATAAGATGAAAATCAAGGTTATGTTTTTTTATTCCCTTTAGCTTATTTTGGGTTTGACAGGAAAGCTGCATTATTTACCAAATTGTTATTTGAAAGGGTTAGTTGAACATAAGATGAAGCAATTCAATACATTACATATCTTTACTGACATACTGAACAGTATTCATTGAAAGGGATTGCTTTCGGCCTGATTTTCTCAATTTAGGTATTACCAAGAGATTCCTTGAAATTCTGATTAATCTCTAGATCTTCCAGTGACAGTTGTCAAAAAAAAGGTAAATTTTATCAACCTGGCTCAACTCCACACTGTTAATTTCATGTAGGGGCAATGCCTTTCTTTTCTTTCTTCATGTTTTGCCAAGTGCCTCAAATGCTTCTATTTCGTAGTTCATTTACTCTTAAACTTCTAACGCGTCTTGGGAAATAACGTAGCATATATTACTCCTTGAGCTGTGAACTAGACATGTGCTGTATGGTTACTACTTTTAGGAAGACCTTTTACAACTTACATGACTGCTTTTCTTTACCTTTGCTTAACCAGAACCTTAGCACAGTGCTTAGCACACAGATGTTCAAAAGGTATTTGAATGAGTGAGTAACATGATTTATGTACAAGAACTAGAAACATGCGAAATTTGATTTGTGAAGACCACTCTTGGTCAACTAGTGTTAAGAGCGATGAACACAGGTTTCTAAGACTCTGTGATGTAAATAAAGGAAAGCTGGGGATCCAAGTTGAAGCTGTGTCGTGATGTACTGCTCTTTCTCGATTAACTGCAGTCCCACTATACCTTAGGGTCCTATGTCATTACCTGAATATGAATTTTACTTCCTATGAGGTAGGAATAAATAACAGAAAGTACATGTTAAAAATTGAGGGGGGGTGGTCTTTGTAAACAGTCATCATGAACTGGTTCACACACATTTAAATATTTCACCTTCATTCGTATCTACCATATATGGGAATCACGAGGATGCAGATGTTCCCTGAGACTTAAAATTTTTCCTTTAGAGATAGTGTATTTTCAGCAAAGATTTAGCGCTGTTCTCTTAGACATCTGAACTATTCTCAATGTCTTTGGGCAGCCCTATGTTTGAATTTTCAATTTTTGAAAAATAATAAGGCCGTCTTTTAAAAAACATTCTTGGGACTTCCCTGGTGGTGCAGTGGTTAGGACTCTGTGCTCCCAATGCAGGGGGCACGGGTTCTATTCCTGGATGGGGAACTAAGATCCAGCATGCCACAGAGCGTGGCCTTACGGGGGTCGGGAAGCATTCTTAAGTATCCTAATTTCCAAAAATTGCTGTTTTTATCAGTTAAAATAACCACAACTGAGCAATTATGGGGAGAACTAGTGAACTATAATTAAAAGTGTTTCATGGGTCATTAAGATATTCTTCAAACTCTGACCTTATTTCCTTTCAGGTCACCAATAAAGCTATATATTATTCATTTTTAAAGAACGGGCTACACACCTTTATTCCCAGAGACTATCTAGGTATCCGTTTGCTTCCTCAATCATATCCTAAAACTAAATATTTACAATCACCAAATGACTTCTCTTGGACAGCAGGACTCGATTATCTCTAGGTATGGTTAACCTCTCTTAACGTTTTGGTTAAGTCCTCATTTCCATAAACACTCTTCCTGACATTAGGGAGATCAACATTCAAGTTCTCTTAGCCCTTCTATCTCCAGATCAGTTGGGAAGGACATAAAACTGGCTATAAAACTCACTTCTCAAAGAAGGGAAACAGAAAAAAACTTTTCTATTATCTTCACGATATTATTTCTTCACATAAACCCTATGGCCTGGAAGGTGGTGGAAATGAATGTTTGCTAATGAATTATTAACCACTGTGGAGAAAGGAAAACCTATTCCCGCCCCACCCCCACCCCGAGATATTTTCTTGCCATTCTTTGTCTTAGAAGCAAACAATGGGCACATTAAAAAACAACGCACTGTGTTTTGTTTTGTTTTTACTTTCCCAGTAACATTAGGTGGTTAGGAGAGAGAACAGTTCAAGGGTGAAAGCACAGAGACAGGCATATTAGGAGAATTTAATATTTTTACTAGAGTTCTGAAAGAAATATGCTACCCTGATTTATCACCAAATTCCTAATTTTACTATCTTCTATGCAATCTGTTGGTAATCTTCCAATAGTAGTATAAGGCAACAACTGAGGGCCCTTACCCACACCACTTTCACAAGTATGTCAGACCTCAAGATGCACCGAAAACTCCAAGGTTTTTATTTCCACTTTAATTATCTTTTACTTAATAATAAAATGAAAAATAAGAATATATGAATACATACAATCTATATACATATATTTATTGCAAATACTTAAAATTCTTATGTAAAATGATTTTTCTATATTTGTGAAAAAATATGACTTTTTAAATGGTGTTGACACCAACTTCTCTGTACATACCCTCAATTCCAATGTTAACAATTCCTTTAAAAAGGCAAAAGACACAAAAGTTTAGCATTTACCAAACCAGTCTGTACAAATCTTTTAGCCAGAAGGAAAAAAAAAATAGCTTGTGGTAAATAAGTCAATTTTCTTTTAAAATAAAAAATAAACTCCAAAACTCTTCCCCTTATTGCATTTTTTTGGAAATAATCTGAGTGTCTTTAGAGTAACTTCCTTTGAAATAATTTGTGCCTTAACAGTGAGGCCCTACATTAAACATACCTTATATGAGAAATTCAAAGTCTCCCACTGTCACTTTTTACATAGATATTAAAATATATATTACTTAAAATATATTACTGGAAAGCTATTTTTAAAATTGATCTTTAATAGTTGTATCAAATGTAAAGCATTAAAAAAAATAAGTAACCAAGAATCTATGAAGGTCTTACTTCCAACTTTAGGAACCGCTTTACCTATTGTCCTCTTTCAATAGGTTATGTAGGTATTGAAACACAGTAGGAAAGATCCCAGCCTATCATCATGTTTCTCGGAGTCTCTTTGGACTATTCTATAAATTGAGCTGCAAAGTACCCTTGGCCAAGTTTTTTTACTTAGCACATTGTTGTAATGCAACAGGGAGACTTTTCTCTCCTTGCTGTGAAATCTGTAGGTCACAGAGAAAACAACCCTGGTACTGCTTACTGACAATGAGCTCTAGAAACAAAGAGTGATGTAATGACCAGAGAAGACCCCCTCATTATAACAAATAATTTCACCCAAGAGTTCTTTAAGGACTCTTAGGTGAAGAAAGGCAATAAGAGCAATTAGGATGGTAAACGGTCCAATTATTAATGTACCAATTTATGCCTTCACCTGGAAGGCAATGACGTCCTCCTTTGGCTATTTAAATCTGTGATAACTCCTGAAACGTCTACACTGTGTGCCTTCCCAGCCCATGTAAGTATGCTTCCCCTGCCCCAAGAAAAATTTCCCATCTGCCGGACCTTATTCTTAAAGATGTTACATGGGGTACCACAGACAGCTTCAGTATCTTCAACACAGGGGTTACGTAGGGCAAACAACTCCAGGTTATTTGGCTTTATTTTCTGTTTAATAGGATGGAGAATTTTAATAAAAATTCTTTAAAATTTAGGGAGTCTTCTCTACTAGACAACTTAGAACATTCCCAAGTAAGACTGAGATGATATATTGTTAATGCCACCTCCCCAAGGTGACCTGAAGTGGAAGGTTATCTGAAGGCTTGAGAAGCATACCCTGGAGGCATAAGCATCAGGCATAATGCCTGACTAGTCACTGGAAACAGTGCAACTTAATACCATAAAAATAAGCTTAGCACTTATTAGAAACATTTCAGACTGAATTGAAAGGTAAAGTAACTGAAAACCTAAGATAAAAACTGCTTTAAAGGTACTGGAATACCATATTCTAATAATTTAAAGGTTTTCTTGTTCCCACTGCTTCATTTTCAAAAGGGCCAGATTGTAATTTTTCTTTTTTCTTAGCTCAGTCAGCACAAGATGAATGACCTTCTATGTGAAACCGTTTTGAAACCGATAGATTGCACTCAATTTTCTACCAATCTAAGAGAATCTAACTATTCTCTCATTTAGTCAAGAGTGAGGCAGTGTACCTAGTTGACGATTTATTGAGTATTTTATTAGCTGGGTATTATCTGTAAAGAGAATCTGGTGAATAGTAATGCTTAGGACCTACCTGCAAGAGCCTGGGTCAAGATGAATAGGCACGATGTGGTTTGCTCTCTAAATGGACTTGAAAATCCCTGATGCCTTTCCTCCTTTCCTGGTTAGTCTGTCCATCCTCAGATTAAGAGAACCATGGAGGAGAGACTTTCTATGATAGGAAAGGTGTGAAGAAGAAAAATCATTTTGAAAATCCAAATTGATTAACTCGTGCTCACCGTGGGGTCGGTTCTGAAACAGTCAACCACTTCTGGCAGCAGACCACCCCTCAGTCCTGCCACTCAAGTGGGGAGTGAGGAAGCTGGGAATGGAGAGTTTTAGATAGCAATAGGTCTTTTTAACACCCCCTGGGATTACCCAGGGCACTGAAAGTTTGGGAACAGAACCATGGTTTCTGACTCGTACTGGTTATTGGCTGGAGAACTTGCTCCTTATCCCTGGATCCTTACAGATTTCTTACCTCTTAGCTATGTGTGTGCTGGAAGAAAAAGGGAAGTTAGAAGGACATCAAATTATCTTGGTTGAAACTAGAACACAGATATTAATCCTGTATTTGCTTTGGGTCACAAAAAACTCAGGAACAAAAAATAAAAAATAGAAGTAAATAGTTTCTTATGGGGTTTGAAAGTATTAAAAGAGTGTATGTATAATGCAGGAGGTGAGGTAGGGAGGGGTGGGTAGCAGAATGGGTGCAAAGCTAAGATTACTACTGCCTACTTGCCCCTAATCTGGAATGTGACTTAGTTAACGAGTCTAAACTGTTCTGCAGGGGGCTTCCCTGGTGGCGCAGTGGTTGAGAGTCCGCCTGCTGATGCAGGGGACACGGGTTCGTGCCCCGGTCCGGGAAGATCCCACATGCTGTGGAGCGGCTGGGCCCGTGAGCCATGGCCGCTGAGCCTGCGCGTCTGGAGCCTGTGCTCCGCAACGGGAGAGGCCACCACAGCGAGAGACCCGTGTACCGCAAAAAACAAACAAACAAACAAAAAACTGTTCTGCATTTTGTATATATCACATCCTGAATATTAAGTACAACTATGACTGTACTAGGTTGCACTAATAATGTATGTCCTTTACATACGTGAAATTAGGAGATCTGAAATCAATATGCAAATGATACACATTGACAATCCCCAACTTTTTAATACCGAATTCTGGTAAATTGTAGATTTATTTTAATGTTCTTTAACCATGACCTAAATGTATGTACTCAAAAATTCTTTAGTCACTAGAGACAGAATTCAACATAAAGGAAACAAAAAATAAACAAACAAAAATTTGCAGCCGATTTCTTTTCCTTTCTAGATGTTCCCTAAGTCATTCACTAAAGCCCCTTTACATTAGAAATTTCTAGTGTGTAGAGAGCAGTAGTCCAAGAAAGGGGACATGTTTTCTAAAACAGGAAAAGTGTCTGACTTTTACGGTGTGTGTGTGCGCACGCACACGTGTTATGTTCAGAGTAATATACAAGATTACTCCCATATTCCTCAGATGCCTGGGAGGTCAAAACAGGTTTAACAGAATGGGCAAATGTGGTATTAATGAGGTTTTCTACCTGTAGCAACAGCTAACTGTAGAACATTAGGTAACAGGTTGGGAGAGAAGAAGATGAGAGGGGCTACTTTGTTTCTAGTGTTAAAATTGTTTTCCAAAGTTCTTTATGTTCAGTTCAACAGTTTCTGCACCTTCACTCTGCTTACCCAACAAAACACATAGTTCAAATCACCCTATCACTAACACTTTTCTGTTAATTTTATACTAGTATTTCAAACTTGTTTGTAAGCTCCCACGAATGACTAAATCCTCGGAGATTATTGCTGGAATTACTGCCCTGCACAGGTGATGGTAACCCAAGGGGCCCTGCGAGGCAAACTTTTCATGGACCATGCACGCTGCTTCAGGGCAAGGGAGTGGGATTAGGGAACAGCAGGGATCCACAAACTGCAAGCAGAGTGCCTGGCAATAGTACTCGTTTATGGAAGCCAAGAACCAAGTCAGAATTTTCAGAGTCTGAAGTACTGCCTGTGAAATTAATACCTTATCAAAAATTTGAACTTGAGAAGGTTCCATCTAAGGTAAAGGGACTGAGTAAACCCTGAATCCAAATCCTGTGAAGGCTGAATAACCTACGTAAAGCCTGCGGTCAGACAGTCAAGACATAATCAACATGAGTGGTCATTTCTTCAGACCATTCCCTCACTCCTTTCTTTTCCTAGCCTCTTAAGAAAGGGCAGAAGGGAAATCGCTTCCTTTCACCATGCATGGCATTAAACTTTTCAAAGTCACGTGAAGTGGAACATCAATCTGAAGTCAAAGTGATACATTATTACCTAAACACCTGGAAAAATGTTAAAACAAGATGTGACATATTTACATGATTTTGTAAGTGCAAACTTGTCACAAATTCACAAAGTCTTGACTTGGACTTACTATACAAGGTGCTTTTCCTCTAAAATGTAAGATCTGTACTCTGTATTCCTGATTAAGTAACACTTGTCTCTTAAGACAACTGAAACCTAGTTTATTTCTGTGATTCCAAAAGAACTCAAAAACCACATCTGTCAACCCTTCCCCCTTCCTGCCTTCTTTACAGTGTGTCCTCCCGGTCTCATTACCGAACGACAAGGCAGGAGACACACAGTTTGGAGGGGCCAATGCAATCATCGTGGCAGAAGGCTCCACACCCCTTGCACATGATCATGGCTTTCAATCGGCAGTAACATTTCGAAGGTGTGTCCTCTATGCTGTTCTCTTCAGGAAAGGCCTGAACAGGAATGGTCTGGCCGTGGTTGCCGGGATTCATAGCTTGGCTAGCAGGGATGGTTGTGACAGTCACTGAAAAGGACATGACATCACCGACATTGCTAGATACCTGGCTACAGTCAGGCATCCCCGGTACAGCAGAGTTATGGTCCATGTCCGATGAGGTGGAGACGTTGATCATGCCTCTGTAGCTTGGCCCAATCTGTGTGGGGCTTCCATACAGCTTTGGGGTTTGCAGTGGTGGAAGGAGTAGAGACTGATGGGTAGGACTGTCTGCAGGTAGAGGAAGAGCAGTAGAATTGAAAAGCTCAGGGCTGCTCCGCACGGTCTTACCTCTCACTGCGTGAGCCATCTGCTTCTGTGCTGCCTGAATAAAATCTCTGGCTAGGGTCTTCTCATCAAATGTTTGGCCTCTAGCGAACAGGTAATTTTCTTTGCTTAAAGTGGTTTGCTCAGGCACTGGCATCTCTGCCTTCACATTCTTTTTAGCTGAACAATCACTGGTGGATAGGGTTTCTCTACTGTGGGGTCCTGAACTTGCTTCACACTTGCCAGAACTCTGGGAAGCCTGTGGCTCCTCCTTCACCATGACAGATTCTTGCTCATCACCAGTACTTTCCTCATCAGTATCATCTTCTTTACCGCTGCTACTGTCTCCTGCTGCATTTTTACAATCTGTATATCCCATCTTCAAGGCCTCAGTGGGGCTACTTAGACAAAATCGGTCTTCGGGGTTTACAGAATGGGTCCTCCTAAGGCTCTCTGAACCCCGGCCATAGGTGGAAATGTTAAGTAAGTAGTGACCTGCCATTGCAGGCTTGGATGTCCTTCTGCCAGCAAAACCCAGCATAAACCTCTGGCTTGTGGAGATGTCCTCTAACTGGAAACCTGAGTGAGTGAAGTTGAACTGGGAGGGCTGCACAAACGAGAGAACATTCTGCCTCCGAACCCTCTGGATGAGTGTCTGAAGGATCTGATCTTGGGTTGCTTTACTTAGTCCTTCTTGGTATTGGTGTGTGTCAATGCTAGCGTCCCTTAGATCCTTACTTGAAAAGAGCTGAAGGGGTCTTGGAACTTGGGGGAGCTGCTTACTTTGCAAACTTTTACCCAGTTGCTGTGTAGCTGGATGGGACTGTCTCTCATTAACTTCCTCTCTGGTGCTATTTTCTGTTAGGCTGGTACCTGCGAGTGCTCCTACCATCATCCCCTTTTCCTCTTTTGTAGTTAGTGGAACGGTTTTCATTTCAACTTTGGTGAGAGGTTTAGGCAGAATTTGCTCCAGGGGAACATCTTTGCCTTGCAGCAGCTGAGTTACCAAAGGATTATTAGCAGGGATATTAGAGCTTGGCCTTGAAATGGGTCCATTCATACTTGAAGAAGCTCCTGGGGTCTTAAGGCTAGAAGCTGCTGGCAAAGTGCTCGAGGATGGAGCTGATCCAGTAGGTGCTATGGTTACAACGACCTGGGGTACAGGAAGCTTCTCTAAAGAGGCTGTTGCTAATAAAGATGTTAAAGGGGAGGGAGTCATGTCCACTGAAGCACTAGCACTTATCTCTGCTGAGGCTGGAGGGTTTGGTGTATTCTTACTAGAACCTGCTTTGGGCTCAACTGTGCCATCGACTGCAAAATGAACAGGTGAGGCACCTGCGATTACAGCAGGATCTGCTGGAGTAGGAGGTGCTTTCTCCTGCCTACCATTACTGGGCCCTTGTGGGTGGCTAAGAGAGGCCACCGTGGCTGCCGCCCTGGTGGGATTCAGTTTTTCATTACTTACTTTCCCTAAAGCTGGTGGGGGTGTGTTAGCGTGGGCTGGTGACGGGACACTTGAGCACGCTCCACTGATGGCAGATGGTGGAGGCACTGAGGAGGTTTGCTGTAGTTGTGCTCCAGAGACACTGTGAGACTGTGCCTGGCCTGGGGTCTTGGTCTCAGATTGGGGCTGAGTCTCTGGACCACAGGGTAAAAGCTCTCTCGTACCTCCCCTGCTTCCAGTTCCTGCCAGTTCCAGTGTGGGGCCCTTTCCAGTTTCACTGACTCTGTTTGGGTCTGGACTCCCTCCTCTAGCGGTTCTCCTTTCAGCCCCCTCTCCTGGGCCTTGTCCACCCCCTGGGCCAGGTCCGGGAATGGTCCCTCCGACTGCGGCGGCTGCAGCAGCTGCGGCTGCGGCGGCAGCTGCTGCCCTCTGTGCTTTGACCAGCTGGGCCTTTGCCTTGATGTCTGCGAGAGTTCTGGCTCCTGTTCTGTTAGGACTAGTGATGGAGATTGGAAAACGAGCCCTGGGAGAGACCTGCGATGTAGGAAACGGCATGGGGGAGATTCTGGAGACCGGGATCTGAAAGAATTAGGGGGGAAAAAAACAACAGAGCTTAGTTTTCATTTATGAGAGCAATCAAACTTCATTAACACAAATTCTGAGTAGGGTGAACCCTATGACAAGGACGGGAAGCCTGTGGCTAAGAGACCAAACCATGGGGACAGTCACAAAGGTTTGTCTCCAGGATCCTTTCACCTCCTCTACTGGTGCCAAGGACTCCCCTCCCTCGACATCCACTCCCACCCCAAAGCCTCAAACCTCTTCTTACAACACAGCTCTCTCTTAATGTCATTATTACTCATAACAGCTGGTCATTTAAGATAGAGACCTTTCTATGGTATCTACATTTTAAAATGTGTGTAAAAGCGAGAAGACAGAAACAGAAGAAATAAAGAAGTAGCACACCATTACTGTCTTTTACTTCTTGGCTTTACTACCGAGGTCCAGAGGAAAACTCTTGTTCTCTTCTCTTTTACACACGCACACTTGCACAGCTAAGCATATAGGCTGAATTATCTCAAATTACAGAGGCTTCTAAACCGCACTGGAAGGAAGACAGTGTGTGATCCACTCTGCCCACCCACATGACGGGGTATGTATATAATGTCTGTAATGTTAACCAATGTCATTCTCACCCCCTGCTGGCATTATACTTATTTGTGGAGCTTTTAAAAAATATACATCCTCTCAGTCCTGTCCTTAAAATTACAAACTAGAACTCCTAAAGAAAAAATGCATTTCTAGAAAGCTTCTTACGAGATTCTGATGCATCATTAGGTTTGAAACAACTGATTTTCATATCATAAAATATTATACCTGAAAGGAATCTGACTCCTGTTCAAAACAATACTTTGAAAGCTACTGGAATTAAGTAGAATGAACCAGTATCTGGGCCTTTCTAATAGTTGGCAGAATTTAAAAGAGCAAATAACTGTTACAGATGTCCTAGGACATGTAATTAAAAACATATTAAGCCGCTGAGCTCTAAGAAAATGCATGTCATCTTTCTGGAACTCCTTAAATTGAGGCTAATAAAGTCACTAAAGATTTTTCATTATCTGCAATACCCATTTCTAAAAAGGTCAGCAGTCCTGAAGAATTCTCTGTCATTCAGAAGTTAGACCTGTCACAAAGCCCACATATTTCTCATCATGAGATATACTCAACCTCTCTCTTAAAGCTGAAATCTACTTTACATCCAACTGCACACAGTATTTTAGAAGCTGCCCAGAATAAGAAAGAAGCAACTGTTGCCCCTTGGTAATACCATCTAGCAGAGACAACTAATAGGGGGAAAAACAGATAAAACTAGAAAATTAAAAACAAGAAAGTAAAAAGCACAGTTGTGCAGGGGAATCATATATAGGGAACAAGCAACCTTACATTAGAATAATCTTGAGAATAACAACATATCCAGCACAATAAAGGATACCTATCATAATGACTGAATATCATTAATAACATTTTGATTAAATAAGGACAATCCTTAAGAGTGGTTAAAATAAAAAGTTTTAATGCTTAAAAATGAGAATTTTCAGTTATTTAGGTAACTAGTCCTATTACCCGTTTATATAGAATAAATGAGATGTTATACTTTTTTTTAAAGTACAAAAACCACACAAGCTTTCTAGGCACTGATAACAATTCAACAATTTAACTTATTGAGAAGCCCTACCCTGGTATAGCAAAGGAATTAGATTCTTTCTGTTATAATTGTATACTGAATGGAAAATACATAATGTCTGAGTTGTCCATCTCTCTATATACATATATGTACACATCTTATATTGTAGATATGCATATATAAAATAGATACATGTGCATATATAATTTTATATATATATAACATTTGTAATAAAATTCAAATTTTGTTTTTCTATTTAAGTTTTGTTTAAAAGATTTTGTTCTGTTATAAATTACATTAAGCTTTGTCTAAGAAAATGGGATTTGAGATAGGGTCTAAGGTAAGAGTGTTACTAAAGCAACTTCTGGTGGAAAGTTTTTGGGGAAATGAGGAAGAAGTAAAAGAAAGGAAAGAAGTTAAATAACATTAACTTGGTCACAATGGATTTAAGTTTTCAGTGTAGAGTCTCT